TTATAGATGTGATAGTTGCTAATAGAAATATGTACAGCATGTTTGTGACGAGGAGACAAAGGTAAATGTAGTGCTTCAGGGTCAGAGTAAGAATCTCACAGTCAGAATCCTTCCATGAAGCTTTAGAGGACAAAGAGAGCCTACTTTAAGAGAGGGGCAAGTGTTAGGAAGATACACTATATTATGACAAGGACGTGTGAGGTTTAGCAAACTGTGGATAATCTGTGGTGCTGGCCCAGCACCGGGTGGGAGGAGCCTTTGGTGCTGTTGTTAGAGGTTATATGTTGTTTCCCAGTCATGATTCTCAGCTTGCAGCCTGCAGATTACTAGGGATCTATGGATCAGTGCTTAGAATATGTAAGAGTTTGCTATGGAATGTCTTAACTTTGTGGATATATATATATATATATATATATGTACACACATACATATATGCATATATAAGCATAGTCTATATCATTCAAATTAGTGCACCTCAAAGTGTGGTGTTCAGAATGGTGCTCATCCACAAACTCTTAGCTTCCAGTTCACAAGGAGATAGCCATAGACGCTGAGAGTAAGCAGAAACTTACAGCAATTTGACTTGGTACTGCCATGTCATTCAAATGTAGGACGTTTTAAATGCCAGTTTGTTGAGGTAGTATTATACACAACAGAATTAATGCTTTTAAAACATAGCTAGATGAGTTTGGAAGGATATATACAGTCATGTAAACACCCCACAATCAAGATGGAGAAAATTTCCATCTCCCAGAAAAGTTCTCTCATGTCCTACCCAGCTGTTATCCGTCTCTATCGTTTCACCTTTTCTAGAATGTCATATGGATTAAATTCATATTGTAGATAGTCTTTAGTGACTAGTCTCCTTTCGTTAAACATAATTCTTTTGAGATTCTTTTATTTTGTTCCATATAATTTATTTTTGTTCCTCTGTAATATTCGGCTACCAGAAAGGGGTCCTGATCCAGACCCCAAGAGAGTATTTTTGGATCTCATGTAACAAAGAATTTGGGGCAAGTCCTCAGTGTAAAGTGAAAGCAAGTTTCTTAAGAAAGTAAAGAAACAAAAGAATGGCTACTCCATAGACAGAGCAGTGGCATGGGCTGCTCCACTGAGTAACTATGATTATTTCTTGATTATATGCTAAATAAGGGGTGGATTATTCATGAGTTTTCCAGGAGAGGAGCAGGCAATTCCCAGAAGTGGGGGTTCCTCTCCCTTTTAGAGTATATAAGGTAATTTCCAGACATTGCCAGGGCATTTGTAAACTGTCATTGTGCTGGTGGGAATGTCTTTTAACATGCTAATGCATTAAAATTAACATATATGGAGCAATGAAGAGGACCAGAGACCACTTTTGTCACCATCTTGGATTTGGTGGATTTTGGCCTGGTGCTTTACCATATCCTGTTTTCTCAGCAGGGTTTTAATGACCTATATCTTGTGATACCACCACTGCTGGCCTCCTATCTCATTCTGTGACTCAGAATGCCTGACCTCCGAGGAATACAGCCCAGCAGGTATCACTCTCATTTTACCCAGCCCCTATTCAAGACGGAGTCTCTCCGGTTCAGATGCCTCTGACAGTTCTACTATATGAATATACCACGGTTTCTCCATTCACTAGTTGATGTATATTTTGGTTGTTTTGGGGTGGGGCCATTCCGAAGGAAGCTGTTATGAGCATTGATTCATTGGAGTTCCAGTGCATATATGTTTCTGTATTTTAGGTAAATACTTAGTGTCAGGTCTCCGTATGCAAGCTTGGAGCCTGAAAGTCTGAAGTCCTGCTTGCCTCAGCTGAAGTCTCCCAACCATTGCCTGCGTTTGCAATTGTCCTTGATCGCCCAGGGGAGCTTTCCCAGACAAGCCCCTCACCCAACCCTGCCATCTTAACCGTTCTTATAATAATGTAAATACCTCTCACCCAACCCCACCACTGTAACTGAACTTACTCTGTAACACCCCCACCCCGCAAAACACTACCCAAACCTATAAAACCAACTCCTATCCCACTGCCCTTTGCTAATGCCCTTTTTGGCCTTAGCCCACCTGCATTCAGGTGAATAAACAGCCACGTTGCTCACACAAAGCCTGTTTGGAAGGTCTCTTCATTAAAAGCTCACGTTTTTTAAACATTTAGAAATGGAATTGCTGTGTCATATGTTAAGTATCTTTAATTCGGGGTTTCTCCATTCATATTTTGGTAAATACTTAGAAATTTAGGTGAATACTTAGAAATGGAATTGCTGTGTCTTATGTTAAGTATCTGTTTAATTCAGGGTTTTGTCATTCATATTTTGGGTTGGATAATTCTTTGTTGTGAGAAACCATTCTGTACATCAGGGAATCTTCAGTAACAACTTTGGCCTCCACCCACTAGATGTCAGGATGCTCCCCACTCTCAGTTTTGACCACCAAAAATGTCTTCAGACCTTGCTAAATGTCCCCTGGTAGCTAAAATTGCCCCCAGTTGAGAAATACTGGTTTATTGTAAAAAACTACCAAACTGTTTTTGAAACTACCAAAATAGCTTTGTCATTCTCACCCAATAGTTGATGAGTTTCAGTTTTAATGTGTCATATCTTAATTTTTATTCATTTAAATATATGTTCTAATTTTCCTGTGATGACTTCTTTGGCTCATTTGTTACTTATGTTGTTTAATTTCCCAATGTTTGGGAGATTTTTCAGATATTTTTCTACTGTTGATTTCTGATTGATTTGCATTTTGGACATAGAACATTTTTTGTACAATTTCAATCCTTTTAAATATTTGGAATTTATTTTGTGTTCCAGAATACGTTCTGTGGTGAAATATTCATATGCACTTGAAAAGAATGTCAATTATGTTGTTGAGTGGAATGTTATGTGCATAATTTTATATGTGACAAAATTATCAGCCTGTGATATGTTGGGAATTTTTACAAAGTTCTTTGCTAATGACCAGTGCCTCTCAATCTATCTGTGCTTATAGCCTGTGTTCCCATTTGTCTTGATGACTGCCTCGATGCCAAGCGATAACCACAGGTGCTGGTGTTTCATTTACAATGAAACCTTTTCCCTCCCGGACTTTGTACATCTAATCGTGAGGCTCCATGAATGTTCAGGTACAACCAGAGCAAATGGGGATTTATGACACAATTGTAAGTTTGTTTTCTTTTTTTTTTTTTTTTTTGAGACGGAGTCTTGCTCTGTGACCCAGGCTAGAGTGCAGTGGCTCAATTTCAGCTCACTGCAACCTCCGCCTCCCAGGTTCTAGCAATTCTCTCGCCTCAACCTCCTGAGTAGCTAGGATTACTGGCATGCACTACCATGCCCAGCTAATTTTTATATTTATAGTAAAGACAGGGTTTCACTGTTTGTCAGGCTGGTCTCAAACTCCTGACCTCCCAAAGTGCTGGGATTACAGGCGTGAGCCACTATGCCCAGCCAACTTTTTTATGTTTTAGGAAAACATTAAATGCAAGGTAGAAACAAGAACAAAACGTTTCCTGTGGCTCGTTGAGATGAGTCCTGTCTGTATCTCCGGAATCCACTCCTTAGCCTTCCCATGCTGCTTCCCTTCCCTTTGCTGTTAAAGAAACTCCTTCAGTCTGGAATTTGCTATCACCTTTCCTTAGATTTTGAATCTGGATTAGTTATTTTCATTTGTTTGCTTTTTTGTGTGTGTGACAAATTACTTTAAACTTAGTGGCCTAAAATAGCACAGATATATTGTATCGCAATATCCCTGCATGAGGAGTCTGGCTACAGATTGGTAGGGTCCGCCGCTTAGTGTCTTACCAGGTTGAAATCAAGACAGAGGCAGGGCTGTGTTCTCCTCTGAAGCTGCAGTCCTCTCATCGGCTCACTCCGGCTGTTGGGAGAATTTGTTCCGTCTAACTGTTGAAGTGAAATTCCCGTTTTCTCAAGGGCTGAGCCACACAGCCTCTTCACAGCCAGGAGTGGAGGATCTCTCTCCAGTCTGCCAGGATGGAGTGTTAGATAAAGTAAACCAGTCACAGTCTTAAATTCCCGTCCTGTTCCTAGATCCCACCCACACTTAACTCAATGGGAGGCGTTTACACAAGGCATGTGCACGCAGGATGGGAGTGTCAGAGGCCATCCCAGGCTACCCCCGGATCCTACTCATCTGTTAGTGTCCGGGTGGAATTATGTTCCTTTCGTGAGCTCGTTTCATAAGCTTTCCAGCCGTGTGAGTTGCTCCCTTGCCTGCCTTCATTCTACAGTTTCTATCTTCTTTTACGCTGCCTCAGTTTGCCAGGTAAACCCTTATAGTTCTTGGCATTGACACAGTCTGAGCGGGACACTATACCTTTGGAGTAGGTGATGCTAGATATGCCCTTCGTCTTGGCTTCCTTGTATTCTCTGAAACACTGAGGTAGCTCTTGCTAAGAGTAAGCATTATGGTGTTTTAATAAAGCCGAGGTTCCTGAAGGCCTGACATATATGGTTTCTGAATGTAAGTTCATTCTAAGCATGCTACGGCCAGTATGGCATGTTTTGAATGTATCTCGTTATCTACCTGTATCATTGTCCACGTGTTGTCATTGTTCAGCTCCTACTTGTAAGTGAGAACATGCGGTGTTTATCTACTACACTTAGGGACAGAGACTGTCTTTTCTTTCCCCTCTGTAACCTGTGTACAGTGGGCTAAATGTTTGAATCAGGGCAAACAAAGATTACAGAAAAATCATGACTCAGTTCAGGAACCACTGGTTAAGAAAGCCTGGAATTTAATCAGAAATGAAAGAGACTACTTCAGACAGTGTGACTTCAGATGGCAGGAATATGGACAGAGAAAAACATGGAAGATTGGGCACCCTCTCGGATGTCTTTGTAGCGGCCGCCAGTACCTGGCCCACTGTAATGATCAGTTATCAGTTATTACTGTTACGGATAACTGTCAGGGAGTGGTGTGTACCTATCTAGTCTCAAGGCTTTTTAAAAACAACTGGTTTTTTTGTTTTGTTTTGTTTTTTGTTTTTTTCCTAATAGCTGGTGCTCAAGACCGAATCGGCTGGGCTTTTGGCCTAGGATTAGAAAGGCTAGCCATGATTCTCTATGACATCCCTGATATCCGTCTCTTCTGGAGTGAGGACGAGCGTTTCCTGAAGCAGTTCCGTGTAGCTAACATTAATCAGAAGGTGAAGTTTCAGGTAAGATGGCTTGCAAGAACTGAATAAATAATAATAATAATGGCTGTCAAGGATTGACAGGATCATGTACTTGAAAGCCATTGGATTTTATTTTATTTTTTATTTTGCTTTAAGTTCTGGGATACATGTGCAGAATGTGCAGGTTTGTTACATAAGTATACATACGCCGTGGTGGTTTGCTCCACCTATCAACCCGTCATCTAGGTTTTAAGCCCCACATGCATTAAGTATTGTTCAAACGCGCTCCCTCCCCTTGTCCCCCACCCCCCATAGGCCCCGGTATGTGATGTTCCCCTCCCTGTGTCCATGTGTTCTCATTGTGCAGCTCCCACTTATAAGTGAGAACATGTGGTGTTTGGTTTTCTGTTTCTGTGTTAGTTTGGGTGTTTGGTTTTCTGTTTCTGTGTTAGTTTGGGTGTTTGGTTTTCTGTTTCTGTGTTAGTTTGCTGAGAATGATGGTTTCCCAGCTTCATCTATGTTCCTGCAAAGGACATGAACTCATTCTTTTTATGGCTGCATGAATTTTAAACAATGTGAATTTGTAAAGAAATTCCTGGCCAGACACGGTGGCTCACGTCTGTAATCCCAGCACTTTGGGAGGCCGAGGCAAGTGGATCACCTGAGGTCAAGAATTTGAGATCAGCCTGGCCAACATAGTGAAACCCTATCTCTACTAAAAATAGAAAAGTTATCTGGGCTTGGTGGTGTGTGCCTGTAGTCCCAGCTGCTTGGGAGGTTGAGGTAGGAGAATCACTTGAACCCAGGACGTGGGAGGTTGCAGTGAGCCGAGATTGTGCCATTGGACTCTAGCCTGGGCAAAAAGAGAGAAACTCTGTCTCAAAAAAAAAGAAGTTCCTAAAAAGAGGTCCATAAACACACAAGGGGTTCATAAACCTTTAGAAATTTTATGCAAGAGAAAAGATACTTGTCAATCTTATTAGTCTAGGCAGAGAACCAATTTTGTACTTTTTAAACGAACATTTTATCATTATGAAATATCCAACTTTATCACTGATATTTGTCTCTTAAAGTTTACTTTTTGTAATACTAATATAGACACTGGATTTCTTATGATTGATGTTTGCAATGCAGATCATTTTACTTTCATTCTATATCTTCATCTTAATTGTACATCTCTTATAAACAGCATAAAGTTGGGTCTGTTTTTTAAGACCCAGATCTAGTCTTCGTCTTCTCAATTGGAGTGTTGAATACACTAACATTTAATATATTAAGTAATAACTTATATTCCTGGGCCTAATTCTATCATTTTTAAACTTCTTTCCCATTTTCCTCATCAGTTTTTTATTTATTTTGCTTGAAAATTGATCTTTGTTTTCATTTTGTGTGCATATTACATTGTATTTCTTCCATTTGTACTTAGTTTTCATCCTTTTATGTGATTTTAAATGGTTACATTATAATATGCATAATTCATTCTTCATGTTTTATCATGAAGAAATATTATACAACTTTGTGAAACATTTCGCCACTTTATGATAGTGTAATTTTATTATCCCTCCAGTTTAGGTTGTCAAGTTTTTTTCTTTTTTTATTTTTTGTCCTTGGACTTTAAAGAGGTCACATTATTGCCTTTATCTCTGGTTTTCAGCAATTTGACCTATGTATGATTTTCCGTCTGCTTTTCTGCTTCAGGATTTACTGTGTTAGGTTAATATCTTTCAAGCATTTTGGAAAATTCTCATCTGGTATCTTTTCCAGCAATTCTATTCCATTCATTTTTCAGAATATAGCTGCATATATGTTAGACCATTTGATCCTGTGCCATAGAACTCTGATGAAAGGTGTTTTAATTAATGATTTTTTCCCTGTGTGCTTTATTTTTGATATTTTTTATTGTCTTATCTTTGGTTTGCTAATCTTTTTTTTTTTTTCTGTTTTATCCAACTAACCATTAAGCCCATCCAGTGGATTAACCATTCCCCAGATACTGTATTTATCAATTCTAGAATTTGCATTTGCTTCCTTTTGAGAGTTTTCATTTATCTACTGAAATTCTTGATCTTTTCATCCATTTCATCCATTCTTCCTTAAATTCTTTCACATATTCATAATAGTTATTTTATTTATTTATTTTGGAAATGGAGTCTTGCTCTATTGCCCAGGCTGGAGTGGAATGCAATGGCTCGATCTCAGCTCACTGCAACTTCCGCCTGCTGGGCTCAACTAATTCTCCCGCCTCAGACTCCCAAGTAGCCGGGATTACAGGCATGTGCCACCATGGCTGGCTAATTTTTGTATTTTTAGTAGAGACAGGGTTTTGCCATGTTGGTCAGGCTGGTCTTGAACTGCTAACCTCAGGTGATCCTCCTGTCTCAGCCTCTCAAAGTTCTGGGATTACAGGCATGAGCCACCACACTCGGCCTTGTAATGGTTATATTTAAGTATTTGTCTGTTAATTCCAACCATTTAGTTATCTAGTGTTCTTTTGTTGTTTTGTCTTCCTAATCATGGCTTACATTTTTCCTGCTTCTTAACTTGTCTTACTTTTTTTTTTAATTGTGTTTGAATGGACACCAAGACTGAGGTAGATAAAATTTATCCCTAGAAAGCCTTATGCTTTCTACTCTCTGGCTGCTAAGGTGACTAGGCAAGATCTTTTTGTTCTATCAGGAGTTGAGTTGGATTTCACATCTGATTTCCTCTTCATAGTGAGATCTAGCCCTACAGCAGAGTCTGGGATGTAACCATGTGAGATCACAGGATCTTTCTGCTTTCCATCCACTTACCAGCTTCTTCCACCACCAGCCTTTGTAAGCAGAAATATTATGAAAGAGAATTGGCTGGCAGTGAGGGTTAGGTCTGTTTCTCCATTTTCCAGTCTGCCATGCCAGCCCATGCTTGGTTGATAAAAGTTGGCTCGTTTCTTCTTCTTCCAAAAAAAATGTCTTTGCTAGTAGCAGGCTAGCTCTTCTGCCTACTCATGCCCCAGTGGTAGAAGCTGCCATCAATGTCTGTCTACCCTAGAAGGGCTCGTCTCTCTCTGGAGTTACATTTATTTATATTTGTGTCCAGACCTCTTCAACTGTATTAGTCTGGTTTCATGGTGCTGATAAAGGGATACCTGAAACTGGGAAGAAAAAGAGGTTTAATTGTACTTACAGTTCCACATGGCTGGGGAGGCCTCAGAATCATGGCAGGGTATGAAAGGCACTTCTTACATGGCAGTGGCAAGAGAAAATGAGGAAGAAGCAAAAGCAGAAACCCCTGATAAACTCATCAGATCCCGTGAGACCAATTCACTACCACAAGAAAGCCTGGCAAAGACTGGCCTCCATGATTCAGTTTCCTCCCCCTGGGTCACTCCCACAACATGTGGGAATTCTGAGAGATAACAATTGAAGTCGAGATTTGTATATCATCAACTTTAAGGACAGGTATGGTTTTTTAAAATGTATTTTTTTTTTTATTGATACAGTGAAACACGCTGATTTTGTGTGTGTGCCCATCTGCATCTGAAACCTTCCCATGTATGTATGTATGTATGTATGTATGCATGTATGTATATGTGTGTATATTTTTTTATTTTTACCTTAGGACTTTTAAAAACTTCTACTTAAATAATTATCTATTTTATTTTAGCATTGATTCCTTCTAGACTAATTTGAAATAAAGCTGTCTCTAAATCAAAATAAAATCTGGCTAAGGCTGTACCTTTTTCTCATTCACTTTTTAAATATATTGTCATTTATTTAATCAGCAAACATTTATAGAACACCAACATTGTTCAGAATGGTGTGCTCAACATGTGGTATGGCAAACAAAAATGAAAAACACTGTTGCCACCATAATTAAGTAGCTTAAATTCAATTTTAGGTGTACCTACAACAGTCTTTTTTTATGAGATACAGACGTAGTCAGAAGTAGACTCTTGATCTCTTGTACTGAATGTCATTTTTTTTCTCTTTTCTGCCTCCAGATTTGAAAGCCAATCTATGATACCTGCACTAATGTCTAATTTGTATAGTTGCCTTTGTGTAACAAACTTAAGAACTTCTAATGGGGAAGTTAGGATTTGTATATTCATATTTAGTATGTAAAATACATTGTGAATTATAGATTACAGATCATAGTATTGCCTAAATATTCACTAATAATTAGTATCCATTCTTGTTAGTTTCCTGTTGCTTAGATAATTACCACAAATCTAGTAGCTTGAAAAAATTTATTTATGATTTTTACAGTTGTAGAGGTGAGAAAACCAAAATCCACCCGACTGGGCTAAAGTTAAGGTGTCAGCAGGGCTGGCTCCTTCTGTAGGCTCTGGGGAGAATCCATTTTCTTGCCTTTTCTGGCTTCCAAAGGCCATCCTCAGTCTTTGGATCGTAGCCCTGCATCACGTTGCCTTTCTCTGTCCTTCCGTCTTTTGTCACATTGCCTTCTTTTTAACCTTTGCTTCTTTCTTATAAGGACCCTTAGGATTATATCAAGCCTTGCTGGATAATTCCTGGATAATCTTTCCATCTCAAAATACTTCTTTTAAAGTAATCCTTTAATACTTTAATACGAATTAATTATCTAATACAAAAGGAAAAGTACAATTCCTTTTGAATATAGGGTAATATATTTATAGGTTATAGGGATTCGTTGGGATGGATATCGTTGGGTGGAGTTGGGGGTATTTTTAGTACCACAGTCTTCCCTTTAACCCCCAAAGATTCACATCTGTCTTGTGTAAATGCATTCAGCCTATCCCAAGGTCCTGCAGAGTCTGAACCCATTGCAAGATAAACTCAAAATCGAAAATGTCATCTAAAGTATCTTCAGCCCCTACGTTCCATTTCATCATTTAATTATCTAAAGCTGGTTTATGTGACACTCTGGGTATGATTCATCCTGGGGCAAAATTCCTCTCCTCCTTTGCATCTGAAACAAGGTACCTACTCCCAAATTACAATAAGTAGTCTAGGCATTGGAGAATAGTCATAGACATTTCCATTCAAAAAGGGAGAAAATGAAAGAAAAACAAAATCACTGGT